GGACTAATTGGAGAAATCTGGCAAAATACTATTTGCAGGCAGTAAGATGAATGGAAGAAACACTTCCATATTCCTATGAACCACTTCGGTTCTCACGATTAAAGTCCTTACATATCCTTTCATTTTTAAAAATCCTCCCCCCGCTTCCCGTTCCCCGTTCTTAAATACAGACATTTAGTTAGAATATCCCGCTGGAGATGGCTCCCAAGTTGAAACGCGCTCTTAGGAAAAACTCGCCCGGCTTTCGGCAGGGCCCCCCAAACCGGTAGGCTCCCCGGTGTCCGCAGGTTTCGGCAGTCCCCATCTTTTCTCTCCCTGTCCAAATCCTCCTCGCTAGTCCGGGGGGCTCCGTCGGGGCGCAGCGCTGCCTCTCAGTATTTGGCCGGGCAAGTGGGCGAATGGCAGATCAGCAGTTTCAGAAGAAAGTGTGGGGTTGATTATTGACTAAAAAGACTTTTTTTTTTTTTTTTTCTTCTTCTTCCAAAGCAACATTCACAGGATTGTTTGAAGCAAAACGCATACGAAGGATTTTTGCCTCTTCTCTCCTCCTACGCTGGCCGCTTCCCCTTTCATGTGGTGCCTTCTCACTTATGCCATAAGGAGCAAGTGTTTTCTGTTTTAGTGCTCTGTTTACAGCTTTGGTGCACGAAGTCATAAATCTTGCATAGCCATAAATGACAAAAACCATTGGTATGCGTAAGAGGCCACCCCAGCCTTATAGTGCTTTTTATTTCTCGCTTCCCCCTCGCTTTGTTTGTGTTTAAAGATGACGCTGGGTTCCCTCGTGCTTTAAACGGACTAGTTATATTTATAATGCCTTAATTAACGAAGTAACGTCAAGTTTACACCTAGATTTTATTCGCAGGCTCCGCTTAATGCACGGAGCCCAGATCCCCGTTACCGTCTGCCAGACGGGCAGGATCTGCAACTTTGTTTAAGTTCTCCTTTGCACGGCCGCTGCCGTGTTTCTGCTGCACGAAACTGGGGGGACCCCACCACCCCCAAACCCCGTGGAGCTGAGGAAAGAGGCGAGTGCCTTCCCCGGCTTTTTCGCCGCGGAAAGAAGGCGAAGGCGAGCTGTGAGGAGCCGGGCCCGCGTCCACGCGAGGCTGCTGCCCACGCGTCCCCACGGGGTGCTGCGGACACCCCGACCCGTCTGTGCAGCACATGTGCGTGCGTGAGCGCCTCTGTGCCCGTCCCGGGCGCTGGGGATATTTGAGGGGGGCAGGGGGGTGTCTGTGTGTACATCTGTGTGTGTGTGCGCTCACGCATGCATGAGTTAATAATTAGTAACTCTAATGATTTCCAGCGTGGCTCTGAAAGCATTGCCCAGAGCGGGGATCCTGGTGGGCTTCGGTTGGCTCTCCGGACCCAGCCCCGGCTCTCCGGGCTTTGCTCCCCTCCCCGGGACTCAGCCGGGGCTGTGCGGGGCTCCTTGCCGTGGGGAGCGGCAGAGGGGCTATTTTGCAGCTGCCCCCCAAGCCCGCCGGTAAGAGGGACAAACTCAAACCCCCACAGCAGCACCCTGGAGGCTGGTGAGAGCGACCCTTTGTGAGCGCCGTTTGTCTTCATTAGCATAATTTTCCTGGACTTCGGTGACGCCTGGGTGCGGGGGGGCCGCACTCCTTCACTGCCGTGCTCCTTGCTCCCTCCCCAGCCCCCACCCTGCCCCATGCTTCCCCAGGCGGCCGCCTTTCTTTCTTCCTTCCTTTTTTTTTTTTTGATATTTTCCTTTTTTCCCCCCCTCCAACTCCCCCCCTCCTCCTTCCCTCTCTCTCCTTCCCTTCCCAGAGCAGCCCTGGGAAACATCCCCGTCCTCCGTGCCCCGCACAGGGGGAGCCCGGTACGCCGGGGACCGGTTCGGGGTAGGGTGCGCAGCCTGAAGCGTCAGGGGAGCGGGGTAGGCGGGTGTACGGAGCTGCCGACCCCATCCCGTGCGGGGCAGGACTCGCCCCTCCCGGCCGGGGGGTGCCGGGTGCGGATGAGCTGAGCCGGTGCCCACCCCGCGGCCACAGGGATCGAGTTGGGGCAGACAGCCCCTGCTCTCTGGGTTGTGTCGCCTCCAAAAAAAAAAAAAAAAAAAAAAAGAGAGAGAGAGAGAGCGAGAGAGAGAGAGAGCATGCTGGCTTCCGCCTCAGTCGTCAGAAGTTAAGGTAAGCAGGCCACAAATACGCTGCTATCAGTCGTGAATGGCGGAGTTTATGTCCCAGTGATTTATGACCGTAGACTTAAATGTCGGTTCAAGAAGAGTTCACAAGCTGGGGCTTCCTTCCAGGCAGTGACTGATACCCTTACACTTCGTGTTCAGGCAGCTCTCTCTCCTCTCTTCCCCCCACCCCCCACCTTCCCTCAACTTTGTCTTTATCTTTCAGGAAATCTTTCAGGGGGGCTGCCTGGTTTTTCGTTCTAGAGTCAGAGTTTGGGGCTCTATTGGGAGTTACAGGGTAAAGATCTGGTGCGCTTGGGAAGGGAGGAAGCTCAGGGAAGGAGAGGGTATGCGAGAGCTGAAGTGGGGAGTGGGGGAAATCAAGCGGACTTGCCTCCCCAAGAAACTTTCATCTACTGTTTCTGGGCTGTCTGGGTGGGGGGGGAGAGAAGTTGGTAAAGTGCAGAGCCGTGTATTGCACAAACCGAGATGGAGCCGATAGAACAGGCATTGGAAAGACTGGGGATCCATTTGTGTTTGTAAGACCTGTCTTTTTTGTCTTTGAAGGGGAGAGGAGAGCTCTTCCCATCCCAGGCACTGGCTGGGGTGGTAAATCCACCTCCTCTCCCCTTTCCCGTTAGGACGCTGTCGTGATCGTTGTCGCTCTTAATCCCGCTATTCCCACTTTCTCCTGGAATGACCGGGCGCTCCTCAGGTTACCCCCGCTTCTCTATAACTTTGTAGGAAGTGATTAACTTGGAGAACCCAAACTCGGGATCTGAATTTTTTTTCAACTTGCTGGCAGGCGGCCGAAGTTCCAATAATATTTTGCCTTCCAAGTAAAGTTGCCTATTGTCTTCAGGCCGGCAGCTCCAGGAGCAGCGCACCCCGCATCCTCGCTCCGCGCTGCCCGTCCTGCCAGCGCCACAAACTTCGCAGCGGCCGAAGGAAGGTGAAATATTTGGTGTCGCGGTCATGAAAGGCGGGTGCCTTTGTGAAATCACCGCTGGCTGATTGTTTCCTCCTTCTCCTCTGCTAGTGGTGTCTATAGTCTCTCTCTCAAAGGAACTGAGAAAAATCACACCAGGCCTCGATAGCACAGGGAAGGAGAGGCGAGGAGCTGGAAATTGTGTATGCGCCTCAGATCTCCATCGGCTTATTAGCTTAATAGCATCCAAAGAGCTTGATTAGTGCAATAACAGGGTAACCGCCCTGCTGTAGGTGTGTTACCTTCATTTTGTTACGATCTAACAAAGGGAATACTGTTTTCTAAGAACTTGTATAACTTGAAAGGCGTAGAATGAGCTCGTTTGGTGCTTGTGTTGTGTAAGGCTTTTCGCCCCTAAGCATTTGTCCTCGTGAGGTGTTTTCGGGGGAAATATCCAGCTGCTTAAGTACAGGGAAAGTGGTAAAAGGAAAGAGGCTCTTCTGAGCTGAAAAGACGTGGTTATTTGCCAGCAAGGGGTTAGGGGAACGGTGAGGAAAACACTTCAGTTTCTGAGAACAATGTGAGCGCGTATGGAAACACCTCCTAGATCGGAGGTTACGCACAGGTCTCCTCTCTCATTAACATGGGCGATTCTTTAATTGGTTATTTTCAGGCAGGTGACGAATAGACTGTAATAGCGGGGGGGGGGGGGAATCCCATAAAGAAAGGTGGATGCTGAAAAAAAAAAAAGAAGAAGAAAAAAAGGGGGCGAAAAAAAAGGAGGGGGGGGGGAAGGGATTCGCGCGGGCAGTAGAAGCATTCTCTGAGTTTGTGTCCACCCTCTCCCCAGCCAAGTGACCCTCATACATCAAATTACATAGCAGTTTCCAAGACAGAACCTATTATCGCTAAGTTGGAAGGAAAGTTCAAGCCGTGGTCATGGAGATGAACGCTGGTTTTTCAGGTTTCTGGTGTGTTTTTTTCCCCCAATCCATCATGTTTTAACAGGTAGGATCTGGCTGATTCCACGAAAAGTTAGTGTCTTGAAAATAACTGCTGAAAAAAACAAACCAACGACCGCCCCTGCTGGCCTCGCTGAAGGGGCTTTGAGCGGCGCCAGGCGCAGTTGAGGCTCCAGACCCACTCGCGAGTGGGAGACAGGCTCGGGGGCTCCGTGGAGCAGCCCAAGCCAGGCTCCAGGACCGAGAGGGAGCCGCTGAGGGCGGCGGGCGGGGCTCGCCCCGGCAGAAACCACGGCTGCCAGGGTGCGTGACCTGGGCGGCTCGGGGTGATGTGCGGGCACGGAGGGGAGAAGGTGCTGGCTTCGTTTATTTTCCTATCGAGTATTTTATAGACAAGCCCAAATCCATCACTTGGGATTTGGGTGTTTAAATATCCCTGCCTAGGAAACCTTTCCACCCCGCTCCTGCCCCCCGCCACACTTAGACGGGAACCATCCCATATATTTCTTTGAAGTTGTATGAAGAGCCGTAACTAGGAGAGAAAGGCTAAAAATAAAACGACGCTGGTTAAAGGAGAGGGTTTGATCTTAGAGCTGGACTGTAGTAATAGCCCAGCCCCTTTGTATTACCCATTCCTCGATCACCCTTATCTCAGAGACCGGTATTAAAACAGTCTCTTGGTGATAAACGATCAACCCACTTGCTCTGTTCCTTAAGAAGAAAGAAATAATAATATAAAAAACAAACCTAGAAAGCCTCTATCCCGGTGCAGCAAAGCACATATTTGTCGCTGCCAGTAAATCCAGGCAGCTTTTATATCGAAATGCTCCACGCCTGAGGCCAAGTCATGCTGCTAAATATTGCTGACCACTTTTTCTTTTATGGCTTTCATGTCACTTAGCTATTGAAAGTAAGATGGATTTGTACCATTTCTTCACCCTGCTCTGCTCTCCCCACACCCCAGGTCTGCCCGGAGAGGCCATTGGAGGAAGAGCGCCACGTGACAGAGGGGTGCCAATGTTATTCTCCAAGGGTGTCAAGACCCTGTCAGTTTGCGAAATAAATATTGGGAAACAACGAAATGCAAAAAGCGACCTACTACGACAGCTCTGCAATCTATGGTGCCTACCCCTACCAAGGAGCAAATGGTTTCACTTATAATGCGAGTCAGCAGCAATATCCTCCATCTTCATCACTTGTGGAAACTGAGTACCACCGCCCCGCGTGCTCCCTCCAGTCCCCTGGCAGCTCTGTGTCCCACCACAAGGCCAATGACATCAGTGAGAGTTGCATGAGGACCCTCCCCAGCCAGACTCTCCAGCCCCCCAGCCTCGCTGACCCACAGGCACCACCGCAGCCGCCTCCAGCCCAGCAGTCACAACCTCCACCTCCGTCCTCCACCTCACCATCTCAAAATGCCAGCAGCAACCCTGCCCCGGCCAACCCCACCAAGAGCCCAGCTCTTAACTCACCCACCGTGTCCAAGCAGATATTCCCATGGATGAAAGAGTCTCGGCAAAACACCAAGCAGAAAAACAGCAGTTCCAGTTCAGGTATGAAACATGCTCCCCCTCTCCTTGGGTATTCCTGGGCTGACTACGCATCCGGTGGGGAGGAGGGCTGTCTTACCTATCTTCGCTTCAGGGAGGGGAGGGTGGGGGCTTTTTTACCCTCTGAGTTGACCCCATGAAACTTTTGGAAAGGGCTTGCCATCACTCAGCTTATTCACTGAGGGGAGCTCAGTGAAAAAAACACCCATGCAAAACTTTCCCAGCCGTGCAGAATGGGTCTGAACTGACTTTGCTTTCTAGTGGCAGAACCACTTGTGCCCTCCAGCATCTATCACATTTCTTAGGTAATCCCCCCTTCAGTAAATCATGTCAGTGTGGAGCAGCCTAGGCCTTAAGCCAGAGGCTTGTCCCAAGTACTTTGTTGGCATGGTGCTGTTAGATTAATAAGACAGTGACCTATCTCTGCTGAAGTGTAACGGGAATAAAATAGCTCATAATCATGTGCAGGCAGGATCAATGCCCTGCATGCAGTCAGAACCTCTTCCTATTTTAATAAGCCGATTGGCAAAGTTACAAGCCTGGTAAACAAAAATCATTCTGGAGTGCTATAAACTTCAGCCCATAAAATATTATTTGAGGGATGAAAGCGTATATCAATGCTTTTATTACTCAAGGAAACCCAAACTGATAACACCAGTGCTAGTTCCAAAGCCCAGAAGTCAGGCTTATTCTGACTTCTTCCTCTTTTTTTTTTTTTTTTTTTTTTTTTTTTTTTTTTTTCTTAAATGTGCCTTGGAAATAGAGTTCAAAACTTCAGCGAATGTTTTGCCAGTCTGCTTTTTAAAGCTGTGGTAGCATTGCTGTTTACAGCCTTCCATATAATGTATTTATTTTATAGCAAAGCAGCAACATCTAAATATATCTCTATGCCTATATGCAAACCTAGCTACTGTATGTTCTTCTTTATATATATTATAATTCCCAATCACTACCATATATTCATGCTATATACTAGACATGATAAAATAATCCACTATACTGACAGCTCTATATTTATATGTTAGAATTTTGTACTGTAAATACCTAACTTTCAAGCATTTGTAGCTGATGTACTGATGTGTATATATATATATATATAGATTATATATATATATATGGGTTTTCAGAGAAGAGGGCTTTAGATCTTTAAAGCAATGGAGATCAGCTAGCTCTTGAAGATCCTGATCCCACTAAGTCAGCAGAGCCACAGGTTCACTTTCAGAGTTTCTAAACCTCACTGTGTTTCCCTGAACCTTCCTTGCTTCTCTTTACCAAACTCAAGATACATTGCATGCTGTCATTCTTAAAGGTAGCAAGTGTAGTCATACAGTGGCACTAATGAGGTGAAGGAACTCTTTTGAGGCTTGGGGCTTGGCACAACTGAGCTCATGCCATGTGGGAGTACTCATTGCACGCATGGGCATCCATCTTGCATTTGGGAGCTGAACTCTCCAGGTGCTGGTGTTGTTGGCCATTTTCTCGTGTTGCCATGTGTAGGTTCGCCATGCTGATTGTGTTCTTTGTGTGATTTACATAGGTGAGAGTTGTGCTGGTGATAAAAGCCCTCCAGGGCAAGCCTCCTCTAAGCGAGCCCGTACAGCTTACACAAGTGCCCAGCTGGTAGAACTGGAAAAGGAGTTCCACTTCAATAGGTACCTTTGCAGGCCACGAAGGGTAGAAATGGCTAATTTGCTCAATCTCACAGAAAGACAGATCAAAATCTGGTTTCAAAACCGCAGAATGAAATACAAAAAGGATCAAAAGGGAAAGGGTATGATGACCTCTTCAGGAGGACAGTCCCCAAGCAGAAGCCCTGTCCCTCCAGCTGCTGGGGGATATCTAAACTCTATGCATTCTTTAGTAAACAGTGTCCCCTACGAGCCCCAGTCGCCTCCACCATTTAACAAGCCTCATCAAAACACCTATGGCATCCCTGCATCGTATACTGCTCCTCTTAATAATTGCCCACCGCCTCAAAAGAGATACACGGGGACAGCAGCTGTGACACCTGAATATGATACTCATCCTCTTCAAGGCAACGGTTATGGGAATCCACACATACAGGGAAGCCCCGTCTATGTAGGGGGCAACTACGTGGAGACCATGACCAATTCTGGGCCTTCCATCTTTGGTCTAACTCATCTCCCTCATCCTCCCTCTGCCAACATGGACTACAGCGGGGCTGGGCCAATGGCCAACAATCACCACCATGGACCTTGTGATCCACATCCAACATACACAGACCTTACCGCTCACCATCCTTCTCAGGGAAGAATTCAGGAAGCGCCCAAACTCACTCATCTGTAAGAGACAGGAGTCACTAAGAGGAACATCAAGCCCCCAAGTTTTGGAAAGTACTCATCCCTTCCCTTCTCTCTCCTCCCCCCAACATGTGCCCTCCCCTACCCTTCTCGTTTCTTTTGTTCGTTTTGGTTTGTTTTGTTTCCTTTCGTAAAAGCGTTTTCTAGTTTATGTGACGTAGCAATATTTGTTGCTTGAATTGCTCTATAGTTTCACTAGTGGATATTTATCTTCTTGAACTGTAGCCTTGTGTCTCACTTTGGGAGTATGCAGAGGCTTTATACTTTACCTTCTACACTTTTATCAAAACAGGGTATATGAACAAATTTTCTATAAAAGGAATTCTTAAATGTGAATTTGTTCGTACATGATTGATCCCGCGGGGAAGCAATTTTTTTTATTGCACTTCTTTTAAATAGCAAGAAAGACATCAAAAGCGCTTGGACAGGGACTTCCTGGACAATTATTGATACGTGTAAGTCTTTCAATGTGTGTATGCTGGTGAACATTCAGATTTATTTATATTTTTTTTTCGCAAACATTGAATAATCTAAGTGTTTAAAATTTTATTTATCCCCATTTGTTCATATTTATATATATATAAAAAATCTGTACCCTGAATATTCAGGAGGCCATATATTAGATGGCATATCGGCACGTGTTAGAAATACCATTTGAAAGGAAACTATTAACTCCTTTTATTAAAAATAGTGATAATAATGATGATGACGATGCAATAAAATCTGGGAAAAAAGATCGCCGTTTGAATACTTTATGCTTGTAACATCCAGCTAGGCAAAAAGTGTGTGAAGTTGAAAAGGCTAGATTTGTTTTGAAAGTTATACATTCCTTGCTGCTCACGTTCTGGAAAAAAAAAATAAAGTTTTTATTCTGAATAATAAAGAGTTAAGAACATGTTCTTCGCAGCGCAGGGGAATGGAGAGCCCTTCATGACGTGGGGAGCTAGGAAACTCGCCTGTAAACTTACACGAGGCTCTGCTCACCCGAAGGGCCCCGCGATGCCTTTTCAGCATTTCGCAGGCAGGGAGAGAGATTTTTCTTTCCCCCCCCACACCCTTTTTTTTTTTTTTTTCCCTTTCTTCCGGCAGGGTTTCAGGGCCCGCGGCCGCCGCCTCCTCCCGCGCTCGCTGCGCGGTGCCCGGCGGGCGCGGATCGCCCCCTCCCCGCGGGCTGCGGTGGGCATCGGCCGCGGAGCAGAGCCGGGAGAAGAGCCGGGGGTGTGGGTGGACAAGCGTGTGCGGGAAGCACAGGCACGGGAGCTCAGGATAAAGCCCCGCGTGGGTGCGGAGGGGCCTCCTGATCGCCGGGCTGGCGCCCTGAGCCGGGCGGCGGAGGCTGCGGAGCCCCGCCAGCACCGGGGAGCACGGTCTGGCCGAACCGAGAATGCGCTGGGGGCTGGATGCGCGCACTGCTGCTCCTTCCACTCGCTGCCCCCGCCGTTTTCCCCTTTTCTTTTTTTGAAGTGGATTTTACCTTTTCCTTTCCTTATTTTTGCAGCCCCCCCCCGCGCCCCCCGAACGATTTAAAAAAAAAAAAATTTACTGGGGCTGATTTCATTCTTACTGAGCCGCCTTTCCTCCCACGGCAGCCTGAAGATCCTGAAGGTGTGGGGGAGGGGAGCCTTGGCTCCATTTCTTCCCGCGGGGGGGTGTGGATGTGTGTGCGGGTGTGTGTTTGTGTCAGAACGGGGGGGGACACTGTTGTGTAGAAGGGCGACGGTCCCGGCCCCAAACGGGCACCCATAGGGATCCCCAGTCCGGATCGGCTCAAGGCAGAATGGAAAAACCCGCAAGCTTGTGCTTAAATCCGATTTTTCTTTCTTTCAGGCGAAATGTCCGTAATTTTTAGATTGAAACTTGAAAGATAAATCAAAACGGACCTTAATAGACTAGGTAAAATATACCCCTGCACGTTTATAAAGACATATTCCTATGCTGTGTAGATAATAACGCACGCTGTTCACCATCTGTATCTTTTAGAGCACAGGAAAAAAATGTCGCCATTTTGGTCTCATGCTGAAATATTATTAATCTTTGGGCTTTACCTTGTTCCCAGAACCATCCTTGCCTGATGCCGAAACATTGTCATGCAACCGTGAATCTATATAGAGCTTTTCTGCATAACTAGATAAAGCATGCCCAGTCAAAGAAAAGGATAGCAAATAGATTTATACCGTGTTGTTTATTGTATATATAGACATGTAACAGTGGAAGGAAAGGCTATGTAGGCTAATATTTTTCACCGAAACCTGATTATTACCCAATACAGACCAGCGACTGATAATTACTTTTGCAGGCGAAGGAAGTATTTCTACAATATTGCAAGACAATGCTCGTTTCAAAGGAGCGCCCGTATAAAATTCAAGCCGCCCCCCCCTCCCTCCCCCAGCTCTCGGATCAGTTAGGTTAGGTACAACAAAAGGTAACGGTACAGTCACGATACTTACTGAGTGGTTCCTTTAGCACCACGAATTACATTTAGGAAAACGTTCAAATAGAAGGAAGTTGGCGTTTCACTCCCCTCCCACCCCGAAGAAAGAAAAATACAGGCGATTTTTTTCCCTTTCTTTCCATAAACCGTATTCGATCCTCTCTTCAGAGCCTGTAGGTTGCAAATAAGAATTTGTAATTTTGCATTTAAGATTCGTCCGATTAAAAGATCCCCCTGGAGGCAGCAGTAATTGATTTTCCCAAGAATTTCTGGTCCTCTCTGCAAAGGTTTTGTTCCAGGTGGTTTTTGTATTAGACTGACCACAAGAAACAAATGTGCAGAATGGAGACACCCACACAGGTTTTACTCACAAAGACTGGTTAAAGTCCAAACCTCTCTCTTTATTATTTGTCATCCTGCTCTTAATCCAAATATTTTCCAGAGAGGGAAAAAAAAGAAATTAGAGAAAAGAAAAGAAAACGTAGGCACCAAGAAGCAAAATAAAACTGGACTTTTCCCACAAGCAGACCAGTCCTCTGCCAGCATATTTTAAAAGCAGCTTTTTTCCTTGTTTACTTGCGTTTCTTGCTCTGCCTCTTTTCACGGCCACATTTGATCTTGGAAAGAGCAAGAAGCTTTAAATGTGTTCTTAAGGGCCAGTAGCTGTCAAACCTTTTGGCGGCCAAGATTGATCGCGGGCAGACACCACCAGAGCTTTGTTTGGACTAAAAGCAAGAAAATTAAACCCCTTGCATTTTCCAACAGCATCGATATTTGTAAGGCATCTCTTTTGAGGGATTAAATGACAAGTCTCGTTCTATATTTTATTTAAACAAGCAACCACCAAAAAGCCCATTTAAAGCCTCTCGGCCCCTCCCCTCCCCCTCTCTCCAATGCCTTCGCAGATATGCTATATCTTGTGGGTGCATTAACTTAAAACCGATTTTTAAAATGCACTTCGTGCACACTGGACGCAGACTGATCCACCGAGTGCTTGGGGTCTTGTTTTCTATTTTTCGGCCCCCGTCCTTTTTATATATTTATTTATTTTTAAAAATATATATTAAAAAAATACATATATATAATTACGAAGACGGTTGCCGACCCCTGCTTGGCAACTCTGAAAATAAAGTGAGACGGCACCTCATGCGCTGGCGATGATTTCTGGCTCCTGGAGGACGCGGAGAGCGGCTCGGAAGCGCCTTCCCCCGGCCCCCGGCGCACCCCACCCTGCCGTGCACCCCGGGCTCCGCGGGCAAGCAAGCCCCGTCCGGGCTGTCTAGGGCGGCTGTGACCATAGGATTCATCGGCTTGGTGATTGTGGCCATTATTGTCATCACTCTCCCTGTCGCCTCAGTATGGTTGGAAAATTATGCCAAAAGCATCCAAATTCGGGACTTGCCTCGACCTGGCAGGGGTGACTGGAGGCGGCGGCGGCAAGAGCCAAGCATCGGAGGCGAATGCCGTCTTTCAAGTCAGAACCCCGCAGAATTTTCGCTCTGTCTGGCCCCTTCAAAACGAACCCGCTACCAGCCCATATATTTCCTGGTAATCGAAAATACTCACCAGACCCAGCCTACTACGGTTATTAAGCACATTATGCCAGCAGACGGGAGTATCGTTTGCAAGCTAAGGCACGGGATATATACTTTTTTTAAGAGGCAACAGCCAGACGCTTTTGCAGCCTCCGGATTTGGCTCGCCCAGAGAGGTTCTCCTAGGGTTATGTGTTACGGTCCAATCCCAGGAAGCCAACTGGAGAGGGAAGTCATGAAGCGCCAGGGCTGCTGCCTATGTGACTCTTCCCCTCGAAGCAAGGTTGCTGAGGAAGATCCTGATAAACAATGGCTCAGAACCGACGACCGATTGTTCTCCGTAGTGTACACCCGATAGCCACCAAAAAAGAAGAGTAAAATTAAAAAAAAAAAAAAACAAATAGAGGAAGAGAGGAAAAAAGAGAAAAAAAAAAGAAAGAAAGAAAAAAATATCAAACAAGAACACAAAGCCAAACAAACAAATAAACAAAAATACAAAGGAGCAAAGGAGCCCATTGAGGCTGGGTCGGGAAGGAGAAACTAGTTTTGGAGGAAGTGCTATTCCTAGGAAAAAATCAAGACCCTCTGCTTCAGACTCCTGCCTGGGTGCAACTTCTTATGCGGGGGCCTGACGGTGTCAAAACTTTGAAGATTAATGGATTACTTTGTTAATGACTCAAGGCGTCAGATTGAGGTGCTTAAATGATTTGTGAGGTGCAAAGCGTTTTCCTGACAGTCCCAAACAATGAGAGAAGAGTGTGCGGGTGGATGCGAGGAAGGCAGCAGGCTGCAGGACAAGCAGCCACACACACGCACACACACACACACACACACACACACACATACACACACACACTCGCAGCCTCTCTCACAAGCATATCCACGCACACGCACCCTCCTCCCCACCCCCGATCATTTCAGATTAGGACGCCAAGGGGATAGATACTCGAGATATCATTTCCCCCTTTAAAAAAAAGTGTAAATAAAGCCTTTCTGGCCCCCAATGAGGCGTTCCTTCCCGACTTTTTTGGATCAATCAAACAGACAGTGGCTTCTTTTGATTAAAGCCCAAATTGTCATTGGGCAGAGGCAATCATGTGACAGCCAATTCGGTCCAATTTCAACCTTGTCTCCATGAATTCAATAGTTTAATAGTAGCACGGTCCCCATACGGCTGTAATCAGTGAATTAGAAAAAAAACACCCCACCAGCGATCTTCTATGCTATATTTTTTTCTCCTCTCTCTCCTTTTTCCTGGGCCTTCCCCTCCCCCCGAGGCCCCTGAATCCGAGGGAACTTTTTCTCCGCGGGGGCTGCCAGTTGAAGGCCATGAATTTCGCATTTGAGCGAGAGATCGGTTTTATCAATAGCCAGCCATCGCTTGCTGAGTGCCTGACATCTTTTCCCCCTGTCGGTGATACATTTCAAAGTTCATCAATCAAGAACTCGACGCTTTCACACTCGACACTGATTCCTCCTCCTTTCGAGCAGACCATCCCCAGCCTGAACCCCGGCAGCCACCCTCGCCACAGCGGCGGCGGTCGCCCCAAGGCGAGCCCCCGCGGCCGCAGCGGCAGCCCGGGCCCCGCCGGAGCCCCGCCGCCCCCGGAGTACCCCTGGATGAAAGAGAAAAAGGCGTCCAAGCGATCTGCGCTGCCGCCCGCCTCGGCCTCCGCCTCAGCCGCTGGACCTGCCTGCCTCAGCCACAAAGGTCAGTCCAAAGACGTGCCGCCAGCCCCTCCGGGCCGCTATTTTGGGTCCCCGCATCCCCCCGGCTTCTCGGGGGGACGAGGCAGAGGGCGGGCGGGCGGGAAGGACGGAGCTGGCGGGGCTCGATGGAAACCCAAACTTTCCCCAAACTTGCCTAATGCGGGATGATTTATTTGAGTTGGAGCTGACCTCTCTTGTCTCGCCGTCCTAGAGTTAGGATATTTGACAGTAATGAAGAGTGATAGATTGCTCCCGCTCAGCTAAGCAGCTGATGCATTAATTATAAATTGCGGTATGGCTAATATAAAGTTTGCTCTGGTGTGGGGAGGTTGGGGAGCTGGAGGCAGCGATTTGGCGGAGGTGGCCGAGGGGCACGCAACACCGGGCTCTCAGCAGTGCAACACAATGGGTTTACTGCATCCAAAGGCGGCCATTTTGTTGCAGTTGCTATTTTATGCTATATAGACATATAGATATAGACACATACATGCAGAGAGAGCACTCCCCCCCACCCCCCCCGGGATGCGATGTGCTGGGGTGCTGAAATTCAATCCGAGCATTTATCTGTTTTGTATGTGTGTCCGTGTGTCTTTGCTTTCGCTGTTCTGGCGGTGATGCTTTGGGGTGCGTGTGGTGGTGGTGTTTTTCTTTTTTTTTTTTTTTCTTTCTTTTTTAACAGACCCCCTTGAAATCCCCGATAGCGGTAGCGGTGGATCTAGGCGCCTGAGGACGGCTTACACCAACACCCAGCTTTTGGAGCTAGAGAAAGAATTTCATTTCAACAAGTATCTCTGTAGACCAAGGAGGGTTGAGATTGCAGCCTTGCTGGATCTGACTGAGAGACAAGTCAAAGTCTGGTTCCAGAACAGGAGGATGAAGCACAAGAGACAGACCCAGTGCAAGGAGAATCAAAACAGCGAGGGGAAATTTAAGAACCTAGAGGACCCCGAAAAAGTGGTGGACGAGGAAGAAGAGGAGGAGGAGGAGAAATCCCTCTTCGAGCAAGCCCTCAGCAACGTCTCCGGCGCTCTCCTGGAGCGGGAAGGCTACGCTTTCCAGCAGAATGCCCTCTCCCAGCAGCAGGCGCAGAATGCGCACAATGGCGAATCCCAAACTTTCCCCGTTTCGCCTTTAACGAGCAATGAGAAAAATCTGAAACATTTTCAACATCAGTCACCCACTGTTCAAAACTGCCTCTCAACAATGGCCCAGAACTGTGCAGCTGGCCTGAACAATGACAGTCCTGAGGCCCTAGATGTCCCTTCTTTACAGGACTTTAACGTTTTCTCCACAGATTCCTGCCTACAGCTTTCAGATGCAGTTTCCCCCAGTTTGCCAGGATCTCTGGACAGTCCCGTAGATATCTCTGCTGACAGTTTTGACTTTTTTACAGACACACTCACCACAATTGACTTGCAGCATCTGAATTACTAAGAAATTAAAGACGTTCTTTCCAAGGGTCCTGCTTTCTCCTCCTCATTCTTATTTTTTCCCAGTGAATTAATTTTATTTTCCCCTCCCTTTCCCTCTTCAGTATTTTCTGTTTGTTACTTCCCTCTGATATGCCATTTTGCCGTTTTTTATGAAGTTTTAGTTGTGTTCAATTTTAACCTAGGCACATTCTAGGTCCTTCTATGAAAGCAATATATGAGGTCTGTAAGAAAGTGATCATATAGGAATGTATCTTCACTTTCTTTTTATTTTTGTATTGCATTAGGATGCGTTGTCATAAGTATTTTTGGTAGAATAAATTCTTGTTTGCTACAAGGAGCTTTCTCTTTTTTCTTTCTCTTTCTCCACTCTTCCTCTTTGCTTTCAAGATGGATAACATGACGGGTATCTCTCCCCATCCCTTCCACTATTAATTTACTAATAATCAAAATCCAGCGTTCTGACAACGAGCTCTTCCCTTTTGGCAATTTAGGACATTCATTAGGGAGGAAAAAATCGTTCATTTTCTTTATTATAAGGATTCTCACAAGGGAAGGAAAATCAAACTAAAGAAATTAAAACCAGGTTTGTTGGAGATTTGTTCCTTTTAATATATAAATCTGGTGTCTTATATCTGTGAGGATACAAAGCTTGAAAATCCTGAGCTGTAACAAAAGCATGAACGAGGACTTTGTTACAGGCAGGACGTAAGAGAGACTCAGTTAGAATAAGCATCCCCTGCAGAAACCATCCTGTTACATGAACGAAAGGGGCATTTTAAAAAAACCCTTTATTTTAAATAATCCTGTTTTTCTAGAAAGTAGTGCTTAGCAGCCAGCAAGATATTTCATAAAACGTATCTTTTAAAATATCAGAGCTCACAAAGAATGTGGTTGGTTACTTCTCACGTGCTGAGTAATCCAAGAAATCAGCCCTAGGAGGAGAGGAAATTGAGAAGTTAGTGCCTGTGAAATCAAAAGGGTGGCAGAAACGCAGGGGGAAGGAAAAAGTATTTAGGGAGGAACCGGCCTCTCCACTCCATCCTTCTCGGGGGCGGTGCGGGGGCAGACCCGAAGATATTTTTTTGTGTAAGCCTTCTTGAGAGGTGAAAGACTAATAACGAAAAGGGTAAACTCTGACTTTAAAGTTACGATTTCCTCGGGCTCCTCGCTCTTCTGCTGAAGGAGGCAAAGACGAGCTTTCAGAAATCTCCACCAAATTTCCTGCCACCGGGCGTTGCCGAACCCCAAAGCGGAGGGTGAGCCCCGTCCTTCGGGCTAAAACCGAGCAACAGATGCCAGCGGGGCTGTGCCGCTCCGGGGCTCGGGGATCCCGGGCGGGAGCGTTCGCGGCTCCTTGCGTGCGTGTGGGTGCGAGTGGGGCTTGGGTGGGGGTTTGTGAACGGGGCTCTGCTGTCCGTCCATGCGAGCTGTCTTGTCTCCCAGCCCTGTAACACGTTGTGGAGCTGGGATGCGTGGGTTACAGCTAGAAGGGCTGAACGCAATTCTTCCGAAAGTCATAAATCAAACTCTTTCTATGAATGAGAATGTCATCAAAGAGATCAATTGCAGGAACACATTCACAAATAAAAATCCTCTTACGTATTTGCCGGGGCTGGGGATCCCCGTCTAAAACCATTAAGTGAGAAGGCGTTTAGTCATAATTCACTTTTATTGCTCTTTTAAAACAACAGCTTGGCTGAGCTGCGGGCGCGGTGAAACCTCGGCCTTGGTTCTCCTCCTTCCCTCTGCTCCAGCCACGTCCCTGCGGAAAGCGAGCAGCCTTACCAGCATTTTCACTCCTCTGCCACTGGGTTAAATTGGACCGCAACGTGCATGTAAGGGTTGGGGTTTCTTTTGTGCCCAGATTTCCGGATGCTGACAACGCTTAAAGAACACCAAAGCAAAACGAACTAAAAAAAACTCCCAAACAATAAAACAAAACCCTCAAAAAACCCAAACAAAAACCAGAAACATAAAACAAAAGAAAAAAAAAAAGAGAAAGGAAATGGAAAATATGCTACGAGGTTTTAACTTCTCGCAAACTCAATTTAAATAAATGGGGGAATCCAGCAAAAGGGAGCCGCCTCCAAGGCTCCGGGTGAACTCTGGGGCCACAGCGGGAGCACACTCCCACGGAAAAGCCTAAAGAGCGGGGATCGCCCCCTCAGCCTCAGTTCCGTGGCAGGAAACGCGGAGCGAAGCCGCGGAGAGACGCAGAGGGGCTGGGATGGCCTGAGGGCAGGGAGAAGGGGCAGTAGCTCCCCCTCGCCTGTCCGCGGAGGAGGGAGGGTGTAGTGTGTGTTCTCCTCTCCTCCGACCCTTCTCATGATGGTGCCCCCATGCTTAGTGCGGGCAGCAAAACCCGAAAGCCAAGCCAGAGAGACAATGCAACAAGAGACAATGGCCCATAAAAGGCAGAGAAAAACGGATTTCAGGATGCTGGAGACTGCAAGAAAAGTGATTAATCGGAATTTATGGGTAAAAGGGATCTACTTGTAGTAAAATATTTTTTCTTTCTTGGCTGAAGTAAAAAGCACTGAGATGTCAGCCCTTTTATTAGTAAGCAGTTCTAATAGCTGTCTTTTTTTCCCTCTGCTTTATGCAGTATTTAACACAACTGGTTTACAAGAATGAAATAAATGTGTTTACAGCTGTAACCGTAGCCAAAATTGGCGCAGTATAATACCATAAATGCCTCTGGAGTGTTGTTGCTCTTGTCCTTCACTCCGCCCCCCTGCAGTTTAAGAAACTGAACCTTTCCAGAGGGCCCTTAACGATTCCTGACTCTGCAGTAAATCAGAACAAATAGACGTACGGAGGGCACCGGGATAGACGCGTGGTGGAGAGAGGCGTCCTTCGGTTTTCAGCCCTACCGGCTGACCGTAGAGAGGCCGTGCAGATGCCGTGGGATAAGGGCTGACCTAAGAGCAGTAGGAGAGCTTTGCACCTAGGAGAGAGTGTTGTAGTTCATGTGGGTGGGAGGAGCTTGAGGGTGTGTATGTGGGTGTGTATTCGTGAGCGGGGAGTGGTGGCGGGGTGGAAGAGCCTTTTGGATTTCAAAACAAGCAAGAATCGAGCGTGAGAACAGACGGACTTAAGAGTCAGCACCTGAAGAAATAGAGGGGGTAGCCCCTCCTGGGGGCTGGTGTCAGGCGACAAGACTTTCCATCCATCTTCCTCCGAGGCTGACGTTTTGCAGAACTTATTCTGAAGACTTTTGGTGCCGTCCTTTCTGCCTGCAGACCGCTGAGTGCGCTGGGACAGACAGATGCCCGGCCTTTACCTCCCTTTTCCCTTTCCGCATACGTAAACCGAATATGAGGTCGTAACCCACATCTCATCGCTATCCCTGCTTCTCCGGCCACGTACCCATCTTTTGACCCACCTCCCCACGGTGTTGGGGAGGGGTAGGTTGGAGTCGATGCTCAGTGCGGTTCCCAAGGGTCCTAGGGCCGCCTCTGCCACTGGCCATCTGCCACCCCTCCCCACCGCCGACCCGGGTGGCGGAGCGCAGGGACAAAGGGGCCGGGGCGGCGGGCCCTGCGCCTCCTGCAGCTCTTTTGCCCCTGTCCCGGGTCGCCTCCTCGGGCTGCGACCCGCGGCACCCCGGACAGCCGTCCCCCCACCCTGTCCCAGGGCGGAAGGGCGGCAGCGGCGCTGCGGGAGCACAGCAGATGGGCTGCGGAGCCCCCGGGCCCCCGTCCAATCATTCGTCCTCCTGCCCCCGGCTCCTCCTTCCCTACCCCAACCGTAGGCTGGCGAGGATGAGGCCGGCGGAGGTGCGGGGGGAGCAGGGATGAGGGCCAGAGGGTGGCCGGTGAGCCTGGGAGAGCACAATGGTCGTCAGTCCCAAAAGCACCTCATTTCCATGCTAATGTCCGCGGCCGCCTGGTGATGCGGCTGGACAAGCCCCTTTAACTCTTGGCGTAGCGTCGCGTTGGGACTGCGGCGGGGCAGGACCAGCGACATCCCTCGGCACCGGCACTATTACGGTCTCCATCTTCACCCGCATCCCATCCACATCCGTATCCTCGGTCCCACGCCTGTTGTCTACCTTATCCTTACCTTCATTCCTGTCCCTGTCTCAGTTCCCATCCCCGTAGAAGTCCCCAACCGCATCCACGGTCCCATTCTCACTCCCGTTCCAAGGGCTGATAGTCTCAGCACCGTCTCTGCCTCCCTCCGCCCCATCCCTCCGCCCGTGTCGTGGATCCAATCGCCTCCCCTCGCCATCCCCCTCGAAGCTGCTCGGGCCGGGGGTTGGCGGGCAGCAGAGGTGCCCCGTGCAAGCTTGACAGCGCCGACAGCAGGGTGATGCTAGGGCACCCTGGCAGCAGCACTCACCCTGGAGAGGACGGCCGGTGGGCTCCGCGGGCCGGGCGCAGCCTCCGGGTCTCTCCTGCCTTCCTCGCTCAGCTGGCGGACGAGACCCAGGGGGCTGCCGCGGCGGGGGTATGTGTGTGTGTGAGTGTGTACAGCCCGGCCCGGCCCGCCCCCCACCCCCTGGGGGGCCACGGCCACCGCCTCCCTGCCCCGCGGTGCCGCGGGTCGGAGCGCTCGGCGTTTAAATGCCCCCGACGCGGCGCTGTATCAGCGACAGGAGCCGGGGAAGCCCCGCGGGCGCCGCAGCCATTGGCTGCCGCCCCCCACGTGCCTGCCCGCTGCCGGCGCCTTCGTGTCATTTTCCTGCCGGCCCCATGGAGGAAGTGGGAAAGTTGGCGCGGCCCCGCCGGACGCTGAAGACTCGGTGGCGGCGTGACAGAGGGACGCGGCGAGGATGAGCTCCTTCCTCGAGTACCCCGTCCTCGGCGGCGAGGCGGGGGGCTGCGCCGCCCGCGCCTACCACCCCGACCACGGGATTACAACTTTCCAGCCCTGCGCCGTCAGCGCCGGCAGCTGCAGCGGAGAGGACCGCTTCCTGGCGGGCCGCGGGGTGCCCATCAGCCCCCACCGCCACCATCACCACAGCCCGGCCCAGCCCGCCGCCTACCAGCACCACGGCGGGCTGGGGGTGTCCTACGCGCACCCCGGCTGCGGCCCGACTTACAGCGCGCAGGGCTTCGGACCGGCGTACAGCCCCTACCCCCTGGGGCAGGACGCGGAGCTGGGCGGCGGCTTCCCTCCCTGTGCCCCCGCCGTGTACTCGGGGAGCATCTCCTCCTCGGCCGCTGCGCAGCATCCGCTCCCACACCAGGGCTACGCGGGGGCCCCCGCTCAGTACGTGCCTCCCCCTTACGGGCAGGAGCAGCAGAGCCTGCCCCTGGGCACCTACAACCATGCCCTGTCTCCCCTCCACGCTGGCCACCGGGAAAACGCCCGCTCCCCCTCCACCGAGACCTCGCCGCCGGCGCAAACCTTCGACTGGATGAAAGTGAAAAGAAACCCACCCAAAACAGGTCAGTGGCCGGCGGGAGGGTCGGGGCGGGGGCCGCTCCTCTTTCTCTCCGCCGCGGGTGCAGGGAAAGAGGTGCGGTATCCCTCGGGACGCTGGGCAGGTAGGGCGGCCCGCACCTCTGGGAGCAGTCGCGGCTGTCTGCCCGCGGAGCTGAAAGCCAGCGCCGCTTATTCTTCGCTTATTCCTGACTCCCCCTTCTCCTCCTCTCCCGTGGTCATATTTCTGGTAATTCATAAACCACTTATCAAGTTTGCTCTGACACTAGAGGCTGACTCCGGTTTAGCACCTCGCACTCCATCACTCACCCTGCCGGGGTTTCCCTCTTATCCTAGGAAGTTCTTGCTCCCTATCGCTTAGCCGGTGTGGACATATTGATTACATCGCCTATAAATCATTTGCGCTCTCTTACTTACCGCTGCATATCCCTTCGCAGGCAAGGCTGGCGAATACGGCTTCGTGGGGCAGCCCAACACCGTCAGAACTAACTTCACTACCAAGCAGCTCACCGAGCTGGAGAAGGAATTTCATTTCAACAAATACCTGACCAGGGCTAGGCGGGTGGAGATCGCCGCCTCCCTCCAGCTCAACGAGACGCAGGTGAAGATCTGGTTCCAGAACCGGCGGATGAAGCAAAAGAAACGGGAGAAAGAGGGGCTGCTGCCCATCTCCCCCGCCACCCCCACGGGTTGCGAGGAGAAGGCGGAGGACTCGTCGGAGAAGTCCTGCTCCTCTCCCTGCAGCGCCTCACCCGCCTCCTCCGCCTCGGACACGCTCGCTGCCTCCAACTGAGACCGGCCGCGCCCCGACGGCCGCCCGGCGCGACGCCCCCGCCAGCGGGCACGCGTCCGTTCACCGCCGTTTTGTCGGTCCTTCGGTCGGTCGGTCGGTATCCCCGAGAGGTCCCGACGAGCTGCCGCTCCCTGCCCCGCTGCCCCCGCCGCCGTCCGGCCCCGGGGGTGCCGACTCCGCACCCGGCGGGTCCCGGCGCCTTGGTGCCAGGGGATTTTCTTCCCGGCCCCCCCTTCCTTTTCTGCTGGAGGAGCTGTGTTGGCATACGCGTAAGGGTCTCCCTCCTCTACTGCAAGGACGCTCCACCGAGTTTCCCTGAGTGAAAGACAGGTTATTTAGGGTACATAACCTCACAAAGAGATGCACTATTGCAAGTGTTTACACGACTCATAGGACTTTCATCCCCTTAATTTAATGTATTCTTTGTTCGTGTCAATGAGTTTGTTGCTTGTAAATACTTTGTCCGAGAGATTTATCTTTTTACAGATTTTTCTAGAATGATGTTTCGATTATCAGGTTAAGCAGGGTGAGTGCATTCGCCAAACTGGATCCATTTTTATATTGGTAAAGTAGACGACTGTATTATGTAAACGTCTTAAGCTCAAGCAGATACCTCAAAAAAGTAGCGCTATTTCTTTAAATGTGACAAACAAGGCTTCAATTGCACTAGGTTTTTTAAACCTTACCCGGTGTGCTTGCTCCCTCTCCTTTTCCCCATGCCCCAAAAGCTGTGTTGGATTGTGCTCTGCTGAAGGGTGCAACCATCCAAAAGACCTCGCCTCTTCCTATTTTCATATTAACCTTCCTTTAGACTCGTTGTCATTTCAAACCACTCGTGAATGTGACAAATGGCCAAATGAATGTATAATTTCTGTGGTTGGTGTCCAGACCTTTGCATGACGCACCGTGCTTTGCTGTACTGCGGGTACACTGAGTTCTATCAGTTGTCGTGTGTGAGCAAAATGTCCTCCTGATTTTTCTGTACAATCATGAAAGGCTCTGTGATTCCACCAGTGGTAGAATCCAGGGCAGGATTTACGGGTCCTTATAATGTCTGTAATAAATATATTCCACTTTCAGGTAGCCCTCGTCTGCCTACCTCTGCGTGACGTCAGAGCTGAGTCACTGGCTGGCCTCAGCAGTTTTGTTTCCCTTATTTTCTTCTAGTGGGGTCTTTCCGAGAGGGAAAGGGAGTAAGAGTATCACAGCCTTACTCCTCCTATGTTATTTTGTCAGAGTCAGAGCTCTGGCTGCCCAATCTGACTTCCTACACAAAAGTTCTTCCTCTCCTATTCTCAAATAATTTTTTTTTTAGACAATATAAGGCCCTTCTCTTCATTCTCTGTTACTGAGAGGAATTTATGATCCCAATCTAATTCTGAAGCACAAACAGGAGAACTTCCTGGGTCAAGTGCTAACCTTTTCACCTCGGGATAGATGCTGACACTTAAATAAACAGAGCACCCTTCAAAAGCAGAAACTCACTTCAGCCAGTCTTTCCTCACACTGCAGGCCCCTCTCCAAGGACTGCACATTTAATTAGCCTGGGCCCTAAGCTTGTCCGGCTTCTCTCTCCCACCCCAAGCTGCTATCCTCAGCGCTTGATGGGGTGCCAAAGTGGGAATAACTCCCGTATGTTTTTGGCGTTAACCCCAGCCCGTTGCACCGTCCCTTCCCCTCTTTCTCGGTACCCCTCCACCCCCCTCCCCTGCGTGTGGAGGAGAGAAAACTCTTACAGGTAAATATAATAACTATTCCAAGAAAACAAGCGAACAGGTAGGGACGAGAGAGGAGCTTCTGTGGGGAGAACTTGGGTGGCAGGACAGAGCAGAGGCATGCTCAGCTGGACGGGGATGTCTAAGTCATTGATGCCTCTTGAATTACAACGCAAACACGCCTAACATCTCCTTCACCCGGCCCAGCTGCGGGAAGTGCCAGCGGGCTTCTCCTGAGGCTGGTCTGCCCATGCAGGCTTTGCTTTGCGGGATCCGTAGAGAGTCAACGAAATTTTCCTCACTTCGGTGTCAAAAGAGACAAACCCTGATTTGCAAGGCGCGGCGGCCATATCAAGAGCCGAGCTATCTGCAAGGGAGCAGGGCTGTCTCCAAAGGCTCCCGCCGATGCCTCTATTTCTTTCATTTCCCCTCCTGCCATATACTCTACCTTTTGTTTATTAGTGTAAAGCCACAAAGCAAAACAGATGGCCTTCTTCCAGAGTCTTGGATGTGTTAAAGTGGCATTTACATGCCAATGAGGGCATTTCAATATCGAGATCTGGATCTAAACATTGCTGGAATCCGGATCTACAACTCGATTGCACCGGTGTTGACTTAATGTGTTGGAAAGAGCGGCCATAAATTACAGCCTAAATACGAGAGACAAGAGACTTGTCAGTGCGTCAATCTGCGATAAGCGATTCTTGGACAAAGAATTCCATCTCCTTCCAAGCCCAAATAATATATATATATATATATACATATATATATATATATATATATATATATATATATATACACACACGCATATGTATGTATGTCCCCCCTCAGTCATAATATATTTCAAGCAAAGACACTCCAGACCTCCCGATCCCGTCTCATTTTGTTAGCGGTAACACAATTTCGATATCATCAGCCTTTGGGTTCAGGGGTGCGGCGAAGAGAAATGAAAAGCTTACAGTTTCTGCCATAAAAAATTCGCTAAAAACCGTCCACAAAGTGCTTTCGATGAAGACACTAATTTACGCTTCAGGTTCTGAGGATTTTTTTTTTTACACATTAAAAAAAAAACCAAACAAAAAACTCTCTAGAATCTCAGGGGGAAAAATGAAGGAAAAACCCCCGCATCTCATCAAAACCAGTCAACACAAATCGCATTCAAATGTCAAACAGAGTTTAGTATCTTCCTATCATACTTAAGGCCATTTCTGCTGTTCACCTTTAAAGTTTACTTTTGGAGGCTATTGAGATGCTTTGGTGTTTTCCTCTGGGGCAATCAGATTGAAACCGATCAATATTTACTCAGTCTGAAAGGGCTGTTGAAAAGGCAGCTAACAACAAACTGCTTAGCTGCTCTCCCCTCTTTAATCTCAGGTTCACCGAAAGTTCAAGCAGAAATGAATTCGGTGATGGGTCACTTTAGAATAAATCCCAGTAGTTAATCTCACAGCCTTGATAAAGGCAACAATTACAGAGTCATCCCTCTCCCTCTCTCACTTGCTGTCTCCTCGGCAGCGGCAACTTTCCTTCAATTTTGCCCAGCATATTTTTACTAAATTTTAACAGCTTTCCGCTGTTTTGCAGAGACAGCAAAAACTCGGCATCTTCCCCGAGCTGCATCCGACGCTCAGGCGGGTATACCCCGGAGAGGTACCGGAGTGAGGGAAAAAAAACATCCCGCAAATGACCCGGCATTTTCAATCGGGGGTCCGGGGGCAAAGGGAGGGGTATTTGCGGCTTTCTCCTCAGCAGTGATGAGGAAAGGGATGGCTGGAGAGGCACCCGGCAGCTGAAGGAGCTGATGGAGCCATGCTCCCCTCTCCATCCTGCACGGGAAAAGAGCAGAAATCTGCGCAAAAACGCGATAGACGTCGCCGTTAATTGCTGGGACTCTGCAAAGGCCAAAGTTCACATAATCACTGCATAAATGCATGCTTAATAGGGATTTATTAGTAACTTTCTAATGGCAGCTCACGTTTGGGCTATAGACTCGAGCGGCTTTTTACCGGCAAACTGCTTTTCCAGAGCGCTGCCCCCTCCCACGCAGGAATTGTCGGGGGATCCTGGGCACGGAAGGCGATGAGCTCCCGGCCAGGCCCCGGGGATGCTCCGAGCGAGGCCGGAGCCCGCGGGAGAGCCCGGGCGGCAACGCCGCACTCTGGGGACGGCCCGGGGGGAGGCAGCTCCTGCCTGCGACACGACCGGGCCCTGGACCCTGCGGGGACACGGGGCTGTCATTTTTTTTTTTTGAAGGGGGAAAGACTCGTTTAGGAATGCTTTCCGCGTCAGCTTAGAAGTAAAATCTCCTTTTTTTTTGTTTTTCTTTAGTAATTAGCTCTATGAGATCACAGAAAATTGGTAACCACAAAAAGCATTACATAAATAATGAAATTAAAAATTTATGAATAAACAGATATGTAATGTATTTTGAGAAGCTTTCTTTCTTTCTTTCTTTTTCTCTTTCTTTCTTTCTTTCTTTCTTCCTTCCTTCCTTCCTTCCTTCCTTCCTTCCTTCCTTCCTTCCTTCCTTCCTTCCTTCCTTCCTTCCTTCCTTCCTTCCTTCCTTTTCTCACTATTTCTCTCTCTCCCTCCCTCTTTCCCTTTTGCCTTTCTCCTTTTCCAAGACAAACATTCTTTTTCTCCCTCAGGCACTCTACTTGGCCGACTCTCATTGTTAACATTATTCTTTTATGGTTTATGTGTCATAAAATATTATAGGTCACAGTTACTCCTGTTTCAAGCTCGGAAAGACCAATGAAATCAATGGGCGCTCTAGGGAAAAAAAGTCTTCTCTTGTGCCTATGCATTTGGGAGCAAACTGTGTTGATTTTGATCATGTAAGGAGTCCTGTTTGCCATGTAACTTCAAAAGGATTGCACATTTCACTAATACGAACAGGAATGGATCCGGAGAATGCCTCTGTGCTACTTTTTATAGGGCAGTGACACAGTGTAAGCCTTTGTTCCACACGGAGAATGTTTCAACTATTACTTGTACCGTTATTTTGTCTTTCCAATCTGTTTTCCTTGAAAGTGTATATTTCACAAAGTTAAATCGGAATTACTGATTCTGACAAAAATGTGGTCGAATAATGATCAGTCTCGACTACGATGAAACCTGTAGCCAGTTGATGAGTTCTCCGAGTGCCCATTTTATAAACACAAACTCAAAGTATATCAAAACTTCTCCTGCTCAAGAAAGTAAAAGTAGCAAAAAGAAAAAAAACCCAAGTAACTCCAAATACAAGGGGGACAGCGGGAGGTACGAAACCAATCTCAGTCACAA